ATTTACATATATTGATTTATTATGCTAAAATAATTAATAACTTAATTGTGTACCACCTAATTAATTAATTAATTTTGTGTACAATATTTTTAATTTTATAAAAATAAGGAAGAATTAGAAATAAGTCAAGGTGACTATCAGTATAAAGAACCCATTATCCAACTTCTTTTATAAAAATCAAAACTTGAATTTTTTAATGGATTGTATAATTGAAGTGTAGGCAAATATTTAAATGTGTATAATAAAGGTATATTAGGCCCAGGGCCGGCGCAACGGGGGGGCGAGCAGGGCCCTTGCCCGGGGCCTCGCGCTTTTATGAGGGCCTCGCGGATCGAAACTTGTGTATAAGTAAAATATTTAAATATATCTTATATAATAAAGCGTGAATAATAGTTCGTTCACTAATAATAATATAAACCATTAATAATCAATACTAATAATTGATGTATTAAAAATAAGAATTTGTGTTATAATAAAATAATACATTTTTACGGGGATTTTGAAGATATTATTACGGTCACCGGTTTAAAGAAACTGTCACCCGACCGTTTCCCTGCACACTCGACCGTTGATCGAAACATAGAGTAATTACTATTATTCTATGGATCGAAACAACGAGAATAGATAACGTAGAAAACTCGATATTATTATATTAGATTTATTTTAATACAAATAAGACATAATAATATTATAGTCATTGATATCAGATCAAACACAACGCACTTTACTCGATTGTCAAACCACAATAAATTATTATTTATTTTTAATGTGACTATCGTCTTTGTGAACAAGGAAAACTTCGGCACTACACACGTCTTCACAAAATTAATTTTTATACAATGTAAGTTTATTTTAGTTTAATATCACAGGCACAGCATACAGCAATTATTTGTAGGTTACTTAGTAGTTAGTAGATTATTAGTAGGGTAATTATTAATTAATAATTAGTGGTTACTAAAAACTTATATCCGTGTTTTATTGAATAAATTGAGTAAATGGAAAATATGGGTACCTACGTAATATTTGTCTAACACTTACATTATTCAATATTCATTATGATTTTTCATTTTACATTTATTAATAAATTTAGATAATAATTATGTACATTATATTATATTATACGTATTACGCATTAACGCGCATACACTGCAGGTATTCATTCACTTTGCATATAATCTTAACTCAAATATTTTTCTCAAAAAAAAAATTGGTGAAATTTTTTTTTTACATTTTAATTAGTTTCTTTTTCTTAGTCAGATCCATTATTTTCAATTATCATGTCAACTCGTCGTGATCGTGATAACTTTCGAAGGCACCCATCTGGTTGCCAAAAACGAATAAAACAAGAACAAAAAGAACAAATTATTAAGAAACAACGTGGGGCTTTTGAAAAATTTCTTTGTAAAACAGAAAAAAAAAATGAAAATGATTATGAGGAACGGGAATCTATTCAAACGGAAATTCAGAATAATATTTCGGATAATATTATCGAGTCTGATCAAACAATTAAAAAAAATAAACAAGGTGAACAATTAGGTATGGAAAGCCATGAAGTCATCTCTGATAATTGTTCTGAGCCTATCAACGAAAAAAATGACATTGAGAAACTTTATAGTGAATTTGATGATATCGGCTGTTGGCCTGTAAATATTAACCAGAACATAAGAACAGAAATTATTAAATGTGGTCCAAAAAAAATATTAAATTTTAAATTTCCGGTTAATGAGCAAAATAGGAAGTTTAACGTTAGTTACTATAATCGTGTAATGCCCAATGGAGAAATAGTTAATCGTTTGTGGCTTGTTTATTCGATTAGTAAGGATGCTGTTTATTGTTTTTGCTGCACACTGTTTCGAACTAGTTTACCAAATAATTCGAATAGAAGTGGGTTGGTAAGTGAAGGAATTAGGGACTGGAAGCACTTGTCTGAAAAGTTATCTGAACATGAACGAACTCCTGCTCATAATCAAACAATTACAATTTGGATGGAACTAAAAATGCGAATTTCGACTTTAAATACTATAGATAAACAACAACTGAGTCAAATTGAAAAGGAGAAAAACCATTGGCGAGATGTACTTGTAAGAATTTTAGCTGGTATTCATTACTTAGCAAAACACAACGATGCATTTAGAGGATCATCTGATGTTGTTTATACTGAACATAATGGAAAATTTCTCGGGTACATCGAAACGTTAGCTAAGTTTGATCCCGTAATAATAGAGCACGTTAAACGAATTAAATGTAAAGAAACCCACGATCATTATCTCAGTCATGATATTCAAGATCAACTTATAACATTGATTGCGAATAAAATAAAAAATAAAATAGTAGCGGTCATACATAACTCAAAATATTATTCAATTATGATGGACTGTACGCCAGACATTAGTCACAAAGAGCAATTATCATTGATAATTAGGGTCGTGGATATGGATACCGATAATGAGCTAAGTGATCCAACGATTAAAGAAATGTTTATGGGGTTTATTAATATTAATTCTACGACAGGATTACAATTGACAAACGTGCTATTAGAAAAACTAAAAGACAATAAAATTGAAATAAATAACTGCCGAGGCCAAGGCTATGATAATGGCGCTAATATGAAGGGTCAATATCAAGGTGTTCAAGCACGAATAAAAAATTTAAATTCCAGGGCATATTTTACCCCATGCGCAGCACACAATTTAAATTTACTACTGGGAGACTTGGCCAAAACCTCAACTAAAGCTGTTTCATTTTTTGGTGTGGTTCAGAGATTATATTGTTTGTTTTCGTCTTCTACTAGCCGATGGGACATTTTAAAAAAATATTGTAATTTATATACTTTAAAACCACTGTCAGAAACTCGTTGGGAGTGTAGAGTAAATAGCGTAAAAGCTTTGCGCTTTCAGTTACCAAGTGTAATTAAAGCTTTGGAAGAAATGGCAAATACAACCAACGATCCAAAAACAAGAAGTGAAGCCAATTCTTTAGTAGTAAATGAATTAAATAGCTATGAATTTGTGTTAAGTTTAGTGATCTGGTATGAAATTCTATCAGAAATCAATGTTGTAAGTAAGAGCTTGCAAAGTATAAATATGCATCTGGATTTATCCACCAATTTGCTAAATGGACTACTAACATTTTTTGAACAATATCGTACTACGGGATTTGATTCTGCTAAAATAACAGCCAACACAATTTCAGAGGACTTAGATATTGAAATAGAATTTTAAAAAACCCGTAAAAGAGTCAAAAAGTCACATTTTAGTTATGAAGGACCTGACGATTTAATTGAAGATGCTGAACTTAAGTTCAAATGTGATTTTTTTCTTTTAGTTGTTGACCAAGCAATTAATTCAATGAATGAACGATTTCATCAATTCAAAACATTTAATAATAATTTTGGATTTTTGTATAAAATTGAACAGTTAAAAAATATGAATAACGAAGATTTAATGATACATTGTAAAGATCTTCAAATTACCCTGTCTGACGGTGATTCTCAGGACATTGATGGAGTTGAATTATATGAAGAATTAATTATTTTGAGGAATATTATTCATGATACTAAAACGGCGTTAGAAGTGCTATCATTATTGAAAAAAATGATGGGTTCATTTCCAAATACTTGTATCGCATTAAGAATTATCTTAACAATTCCTGTAACGTCAGCCACTGCTGAAAGGAGTTTTTCAAAACTAAAAATAATAAAAAACTATTTGAGAAATACCATTTTGCAAGATAAGATGTCAAACTTAGCATTGATTTCAATTGAAAATAAAATAGCAGAGTCTCTCGATTACAACGATATTATTGAAACATTCGCTTCACAAAAATCGAGAAAAAAAACTTTTTAATATTTATATTTTATAATGATCATTGACTATTGATTTGTTTGAATTAATTATGTATTGCAAAAAAAAAATATTAATTAATCAACTTCACAATTTGTTATTTAAGTAGATTATGTTTGTTTATATCTTTTATAGTATCTACTATCTAAGGACTAATACATTTTATTTTATTTATTTTATTATGTATGTATAAGAAAATTCAATTATAAAATGTATATTATATTTTTTTAGTTTTTAAGTTTGATTTCATTGTTTGACTTTTTACATTACATAAATAAAATATAACAATTAATTACCACTATAAAATCCTTATAAATAATTTTGTATTAATACATAGCTCATAATCTCATCAATGTTTTTGGGGAATACCCTAGACGTCATTTTTATAAAAGGGCCTCGCGATATATTTCGCCCAGGGCCTCGCAAAAGCTAGCGCCGGCCCTGACTATCAAGTATCAACTAATAATTATTTTAATATTAATTTTTTTCACATTTATTTTATTTTAAATATAAAGAATTTAACTAAAAAACGTATCTTATAGTAACTAGGTGCGGCACAGTAAAATCCATAATTTTTCTAGCATATTATAAATGTTATATATTTTAATTTGAAATATGAAACATTTTTTTTTGTGATTATTATAATAAACGGTTAAAAGAAATTAAGTTGTACTTATTTTCCGATATTATAGGTACATATAACTGTTGCGTACCTGGTAGTGTGCGTCTTCCTATAAATATTTTCTTATCAATTATATTACCGCGACGATCTACGGGCGCGTTATCGATTACGTAGACGTCGGCAGTTCGTGCAAATAACACGGAGAGCACACTACAAGGTGCGCAACGCGTCTTCCGTGCAGTTTTATGAAAGTTATATTATATTCTCAAAATATCAATTATTTGAATTATTATTAATTATTATATTTCGGAGTACAGTCCACATATGTACAAATAGTTGCGTTTTTCTTAATTAATATATCTTTATTGGTTATCTTTGCTTACCACGTCCCATCATTTGGTCCATTCGCGCCGGATTCGTTGAATAATTTTCGTGCGTCAACGTGGTTTAAAAGCAACGTGAAGTTTTATTTTATTTTTTTTTATAGTTTGTCTTATTTTCTGTTAAATAAGCTAGCTATAATATAGCGTTTTAGTGCGTTTTGTACGGGTTAGGATCATCGTTGATCTATTGATCGTCGTAACTCGAGCAACTTCAAGTTTCATAAGGTCAGCCAACCAGTACACCATTGATTGTCTCTCGAGAAGAACTAAGAAGACCAGTACGCAGATCCAGATCGAGAAGTCGGGTAAGAGTTTAGCTAGGGATGGGTCGTTCGCGAACGATTCGTTCAAAATGAACGAATCAACTCGGTGAACGAATTGATTCAGATTCAGATAGTTAGAACGATTCGTTCACGAAATTAATTTAGTTCGTAACTTCATGTGAATCTTGACCGACTTAACAATGAATCATCAATATTGTACCCGGAACAATTCGTTCAATATCGATCGAACGACTCCGACCGATTCGTTTCGAACTTCATACGATTCACTAATCATTTCTTATACGACATTGACAAATGCTTAGATAATACCACAGATATATATATACATATGTACACAGTGTATTATCTAAGGACAAATGATTCAATTGATTCTCTACTAACCTGTATTATTGTAACTAACTTACTGTCGACCAAGTAGTATTTTCGACTCTCTAGACTCCAGAGTCCAGAGTAGATATTCATTGCGACAATATTATCATCACTTGTAACGTTTTTATTACGAGTAGATATAAACATACATACAATTAAGATAGGTAACCTACACAAATACAGCCGTGAAATCTTATCAATATTAATAATTTATAAAATTGTCAATATTGAATAAAATAAGTGTTCAAATTTCAAATCTACATTATATTTTATATTTATAAACACAATAACATAGTTTTATTACTTTCATATTACGTAAGTAATAAATATAACTTATTTAACAGTACACATATTTTAATTGATTCACTAATTAGAAAACATGTTGAAGTATACCAAAACAAATATACTTTAAATAGTTATAATAGTGAGTTAAAATATATTGCAATTCTTAATTTAAATGTTAGATTGAATAAATAAAATTTTTTCTACTTTGTCTGTAGTAAGTCTGGTCCTCTTTGCATTCAGAACAAGCCCAGCTTTAGAAAAAACTCTTTCACTTGGAACTGATGTCGCTGGTACACATAGTCTTCTTAGTACCATCTCATACAATCTTGGGTATAATTTTTGTCTGTCAGACCACCACTTTAAAGGATCTTCCTGGCGATTCAGAAGATTCTCACTCAGGTACTTGTCTATTTCAATAATACTTCCTACTGTTGAATTATTTTCACCAAGAACTGAACTGACTTGTTCATCAAATTTTGTCCAAATCAGCGTCGGGTTACCCTACAGGCAAAACAATCAGGTGATTGGAGCGGCAAATTTGTGAGGGCGGCAAATTTGCCGCACTTAAGAAAAAAATGTATTTATAAAATTATAATATTATAACGTCTTAAGAGTTATGAGTATTAGCAACTAGGCTATTAACTCAGTAAAATACTGAAATGGTTTCGGTGAATGCGATCAACTAGAATTGTTATTATTAGCGAATCTATGTTTTTCCCGGAAACGGTTTATATTAAATATATGATTACACATAGGTATTGTACATTATGGCGATAGCCGATACGATGTTGTTTTTGTCAATAATATTTTATTTTCGTGATTCTATTACTTACAAAATTACAAAGAATGTTATACGTATTCTTTAATCCTTATCATTACATTATTCTGCTTATTAGTATACCGCGACACTGCGACAGTACAACTTGTGTCACGAGTGTAACGACGTCTTTATTTATTTTTATTATAATTCTTCAAATTATTACATCACAATGAGTGATGGTAGAAAAAGAAAAAGTGGTGCAAGATACAAAAAGCTGCGAGAAGAGCATGAAGAAAAAGAAAAAAGGGTTATTCAAAAAATAAGAAAACTCGATACTTTTTTCACAAACTTAAAAACAGGTAAAAACAATTTACTCTATATTTCTATAAAATAAATATTATTTTTTTTTTAAATTTTGATGACACGTTCTCTGCGGTTAGGTTAATCTGCCAATAAATTGGCGTCATCCGCACAATATATTTTACAATACAATGTGTCTCAGCCGACGTTTGAATAAAATAATATTAATTAAATTATATCATTTATATAACTTCGCACCACTTCGCCACCGATCGATTCGTAGTCGCAAATCGACGTTTTTTTTATAATATTAGATGTTTTAAAATGATTTGATACATCACAGTCACGAATCGCAGTTGTATTATTTTATTATTTTTGTGCGTTAATCGGCATTTCTTATTTGTATTATTGTACCTAACTCCGTGGTGTTTAGTGTGCGAAATTATATTATAATTTATAATATATTAATATAAGTAATATAGGTAGCATGTAGGTAATATAGGAATGTGTATTGTAATATAATCCGCAGTGAACGTTTCAAAAATAAATATGCACGAAAAAATGCTAAATTTATTATTGAATATTATTATATTTATATAGACTCATCTACTTCAACTACTACTCTCACATTAACCACAAGTACTATTACTTTAACTACAAGTACTTCAACGAGTTCAACTAGTCATCCTAATACTGAATTAGATATTACGCCTAGCCCTACCATTTTGTCCGTTTCAACACCTTTAGAGCTAGAGAAAGGAAACCACGCAGGTGATGCTAGAAATCTGATTTCAATAGATATAGTTAAATGTACAGCCCCAAAATCTCTAGTATCTCTTGATGATATAACTGTAAATAGAGATCCTGCCAAATGGATAATAAACGAGACGACAATAGACCAACTACTTTCGAGAGACATCGATCAGAATATACCCGAAGATTTTTCTGTCACTAGAAGGTATTACTCCTCAGTAAGTGGATATCGGTCATTGACAAAACTTGCATTTGAGAGAAAAATAAAAAATGGGAAACTGCACAGAAAATATTTATGCTATTCTTCGAGTAAAAAGGCACTTTTTTGCATTCCGTGTCGTTTATTTGGTAATGGTAGTTCAAAATTTGGTACAGATGGATATGATGATTGGAATAATGTACACAGCGGCCTAACTTCCCATGAAAATTCCTCAGAGCATATTCAAAGCTCTAGCACTTTTTTAAACAGAAGTAAGTTGAAAAATCGAATAGATAAAGGGCTCCAACTACAAATTCAAAATGAAATGAATTATTGGCGAAATGTGCTTCAGCGAGTTGTAGCGGTAGTAAAAAAACTTGGTAGTCGAGGATTACCATTTAGAGGGAAGAATGAGCAATTTGGGTCAAATAAGAATGGGAATTTTATGATGTGCTTGGAGCTTATTGCGGAATTCGATCCTTTTATGTCTAATCATTTAGCTACTTATGGAAATCCGGGTCGGGGTAAAACATCCTATCTGTCTTCTACAATTTGTGAAGAGTTTATTTCTTTGATTGCGAAAAAAGTATTAAATGTGATTATTGACGAAGTAAATCGTTGTAAGTATTTTTCCATTGTTGTTGACTCAACGCCCGATATCAGTCACGTGGATGAATTGTCGTTTGTAATCAGATATGTAAAACGAGAAATTCAAGAAGATACGCCAGCTGAAGTTGAACGATTTTTAAAATTTATACCCAATGTTGGACATAAGGCAATAGACATGCTAAATGCAGTTACAGGTACACTCGAAGAATTTGGTTTGAATTTACAGGATTGCCGCGGTCAATCTTATGATACTGCCGCAAACATGTCTGGTTGTTACTCAGGATTAAAAACAAGGATCCAAAATCTAAATCCATTAGCAATTTATGTACCATGTGGAGGACATAGTCTAAACCTCGTTGGATTATCCGCTGTCGATTCTATCAAAGAAGCGGCATTTTTTTTTGATCACTTAGAAGCCATCTATGATTTTTTTGCAAAATCTACTTATCGGTGGCAATTGATGAAACAGAAATTGAAACCAAATCAAAAGATAGTAAAAAGAGCTACTGGAACTAGGTGGTCTAGTCGTTATAATGCATGTTCTTCTTTCAAAAATAGCTGGGAAGAATTTATGGAAACATTGAATGATATAGAAAATAATAATTCTGAAAAACACATAAATCGTAGAAAAGCTGCAGGTTTAAAAAACAACTTGAGTACATTTGAGTCGGTCTTTATGGCCGTATTTTGGACTTCTTTGTTGGAACGATTCAATAAAACAAGCACAGTTTTACAATCAACATCAGCTAACTTAGAACATGTTGTTGATCTATACAAATCTTTAATTGATTATGTGAGTGAAATAAGATCTGATGAAATATTCCAACAATTCATTGATGAAGCAAAAAAAATTAGAAAAGAAGAATATGAATTGGACAAAAAACGTCGTCTTACGCGACCCCTTTTATGCGACGAACTAGACGAATGTAGTTCTAGAGCAAATGAAGTAGTTTTTGGTGGTAAAGACAAATTAAAAATCGTTTATTTTGCCGTATTGGATCAACTCAGAAAACAACTGGAAATAAGACATTCTGGGTATGAAAATATTTACGATAAATTCAAATTTTTGATCAACATAGACAATAAGTCAATTGATACCGATGATATTGTCCAAGGAGCCAACAAACTCCAACAGTTTTATGAAACAGACATTGACGAAACCACATTTACTCAAGAATGCATACATTTTAAAACTTATATGCAAAATGCAACAGAAAAAAAAAACAACAACATCAAAGTTTGTTTACATTTTTTAGGAATCAAAATTTAGAAGAACTATTTCCGAATGTAAGCATCGCTTTGAGAATATATTCCTGTATGGCGGTTACTAATTGCTCAGCAGAAAGATCGTTTTCGTGTCTCAAAAGAACGAAAACGTATTTAAGATCTACAATTGGCGAAAATCGATTAAATAGTTTGGCTCTCCTTTGCATCGAATCTGAATTAGTGTCTACAATTGATTTTCAAGACCTAATCGAAACATTCGCTAACCTAAAAAGCCGAACAAAAATATTTTAATAAATTTATTATATAATATTTATATTATTTTAATAATATTTGACGATTGTATTAAATTTAATATAATAAAGAATTATTAAACTAACAATGTATTTCTATATGTATTTTGTTTTAAAAAAAGTATAAAATGAAAGGGCGGCAAATGCCCTGCTTGTAGGCGGCTAATTGCTTAATCCGCCACTGGTCCAAATACTTGATGAAGGCACTTGTGGAATGGAAGTAGCTGAAGTAACGCTTTCAGTCACATTTGAATTATTTATATCTAAATTTGATAATTTTCTTCCCATAGTAATTTTACATGCTTCAAATTTATCAATATTAGCAAATCCATATTTCTTAAATCTAGGGTCTAGAAAAATAGCTTGTGATTGAATGTCATTGCTTTCTAAATGTTTGAAATACTTATTTAAAGTTGATTTTATTTCCAAAGCCATTGCATTTACATTAGTAGGTATATTTATATCATTAATAAAAGTATCTAAGTGTTCTAATAAAAATATATAGAATAAATTCTGTTTTGAAATTGTAACCACATTCTCAGCACTCATTTCTGTTGTAAGTTCATCAAAAACTTTCAGTAATTTACAAGCAGAATACACTTCATCCCATTCATTATCACTAATGCAATTTAAACTATTGTTAGTAATTGCTAATGTCGATAATACAGGCTCTTTTAATTTAATAATCCTTTCCATCATTAAATATGCAGAATTCCATCGCGTTTTGCATTCCTGTATAAGTTTAAGATTTTCAAGTCCGTTTTGTTTTTGAATATTTTGTAACTTATGACACGCCCCAGAACTTTGTTTAAAAAATTCTACTATACTTTTTATCTTAGTAATAATAGATTTTAATTTTTCCAATCCGTGTTGAATACCAATATTCAGGACGTGAGCAAAACATGAAATATGTCTCCATTTATTTAACTTAATAGCACCAACAATGTTAGGAGCGTTGTCAGTTACTACAGCTGATATTTTATTTTCAATATCCCATTTTTTCACTGTAGCCATTAAAAAATCAGAAAGTTCTTGAGATGTACATTTTTCATTATAATTTATGCAACCAATCAATCGAGAACACAATTTAGTTTCAGAATTTATGAAATGGACAGTCAATGCAATATAATGTTGATTATTGATTGATGTCCAACCATCTGTTGTCAACGATAGAGCCTTCACACTTTGTAAGTCAATTTTAACTTTTTCTAACACACTCTCATACATCTGTAATAATAGACTATTTGATATTGTTTTTCTAGACGGTATAACATAATTAGGTGCAAGCATTTTTATTAAATTCCGAAATTCTGTTTCTTCGACCAATGAAAAGGGATGGAAATGTTTTATGATAAATTTTGAGATTTGTAAGTCAATAGCCTTTGATTTTGAGAGCGAAATAGGTTTACTAACGAACTGTGTAATGGTACTTTGCCTACTTTGATTTGACGTTGAAAGACTTACTGTTTCAGGTAGAACCGTAGAAGAAGCTGTATTTACAGATGTGCTGGTAGTGGCTACGGATGGAATGCTGGATGGATCATCAATATATTCTTCATTGTTAGATGAAAGGTTGTTCTGATTCCTCAATGGTTTGTTTATGGCACAGTTATATGTTTGGTTTAAGGTGTAAAGATTACTCGTAGAACCACCACTGTAACTAAGTTCGTGGCCACAATAAGAGCATTTAGCTATAGTACTGGATTTTATAGTAAAATGATTCCATATTGTGCTTCGTTTACGGTTCAGTAACATTATAACTTGAATAATGATAAAATATTTTCAATTTATAATATTTTTACTTTATGTACCAAGACCAAGAACTCATAAAATAAGCATATAAATAAAAATTAAAATTAAAAACAAACTCTCTTTACTCTCTAAGCACTTTGCTCATACGATGACAAATGAAAAATTTTGATGGTTTTTATTGTCTTTAATATAGTTTATCAGCCTACAAGTATTATTCAGATTTTTCATGTCACATACTAGTTGAAACATGTCTTTATACGTCTCTATTTAGTAGGTATTTATAGAAATTGAAAAAAGTATGACCATCAAAATATCAAATATTTGGTTTACAGAATTAGAATTAAAATGCAATAACTTAATACATAATAAATATAGGAACAAAGACCCAAGCTTGTTCATAATAAAGTCTTATCTTAGGTGTTTCTCATTGATTTGGTAATACAAAATGTTAATTGAGTCTTAAACTCAAAACTGTGTTTGGACCCAAATTATAAAAAAGTACTACCTAATATCTAGTCAGTTGAAAATAAATATTTAACATTACAGATAACTAGGTGGACCAAAGCTACTTATCTGTGCGAAATTAGAACAGAAATTAGAGCCTTTATTGGACTATTATACCAAATAGGATCCTTTAGGTGCTCCCGTAAAAATATACATCAACTTTGGGACAATTCAAAAGGAAATGGAATGGAGTCATGTTATTTGACTATGAGTGAAAAAAGATTTCGTTTTCTTGTAAGATGTTTACGGTTTGATGATATGCATGATCGAGCGGTTCGTAAACAATTTGACAAATTAGCTCCTATTAGAGATATTTTTAAATTGATGGTTGATAATTTTCAAAAATATTACTACCCTAGTGAATATGTGACCATAGATGAGCAGCTATTAGCTTTTCGAGGAAAATGTCCATTTAGGCAATATATTCCGAGTAAACCAGCCAAATATGGCATAAAACCATTTGCTCTAGTTGATTCTAGAACTGTTTATACTTTAAATTTAGAGACCTATCTTGGTGTACAACCCGACAGACCATACAAAATTAGCAATGCTTCTCAAGATGTAGTTTTACGAATAGTTGAACATATTTTTGGAACAAATAGAAATATTACGGTTGACAACTGGTTTACCAGTATGCCTTTGATTATAAGTTTGAAAGAAAAAAAACTTACATATGTAGGTACAGTTCGTAAAAATAAATGAGAAATTCCAAAAGAATTTTTACCAAACAAACAACGAGTTGAAACGTCTTCAGTATTTGGATTCCAAAAAGAATGTACATTGGTTTCATATTGTCCAAAAAAAAAAAATAAAACGGTTTTAGCAATCTCGTCTATGCATCATGATATCATGATGATGCAATAGACGAAGAAACAGGTGACAAAAAAAAACCAGATATAATTACATTCTATAATATAACTAAAACTGGTGTTGATTTGGTTGATCAATATTGTCAAAATTATAATGTAGCACGTAACACAAAATGCTGGCCAATGGTTATATTTTATAATCGTTTGAACGTGGCTGCAATAAATGCACTATGTATTTATAAAGCTAATCACACGGAAAATATAAAAATAAAAATGATCGAATTTTTACAAGACTTGTCGTGGGAACTAATAAAACCACAAATTCAATTTAGATCTACAATAGAAACATTCCAATTGAACATCGAAGACGTGCTAAAATTCTGTTAGGAGAAAAGGATACGACAGCTATAGAGACAGAAAGATCAGATGGATCCAGAGGTCGATGTTATGATTGTGGACGAGCACGTGATAAAACTACCAGAAGGTGGTGTTGTAAGTGTTAGAAGTGGATGTGCGGTGACCATTTAAAAGACATATGTAAAAATTGTGTACTATAAAAAAAAAATTTATAAGCTACTAGCTGACCCGGCCACGCGTTGCTGTGGCTAAATGTTCTTACACTTGATATTAAGCAGACAGTCTTAAACTTTTAAACGTTAATATCTAATTTTTTAAATTATAAATACTTTTAATTTTTCTATTTAATTTAACACCAATCGGTGCACAATGCTTTTGGTTAACCTGTCTTTAGCTAACACAAATAGATTCGACAGTTTCCCAACACGTGAACACGCAACATATAGTTGCCCATGAGAAAAACATGGATTTTCCAAATCTAAACCACAAATGGACATTGTTTGACCTTGAGATTTATTTATAGACATGGCGAAAGCTAAACGAATTGGAAACTGTAGCCTTTTGAAGGGTATAGTAGAATCTGATGGTATCATCGGAATACGTGGCAGCAGGACCACTTTTCCTTTAAACTTCCCAGACAAAATGGTTGCTTCAAGAATGTTTCCGGTAATCTTTTTGATGACCAAACGCGTACCGTTACATAATTGAGGTGGCTTCAAATTACGGAGGAGAATAATAGGGGAACCAATCTTTAATCGAAGATTATGTGGTGGCATTCCAGGGATATCTAATGAATTTAAAAATTCAATCGGAAAATTTACACTTTCATTTTCGTCAACAACAGTATCGATTGATTTAAATGACATCAGATCGCCTGGTAACAACTGTTGTATCTGGAAGTTAAATTCGTCAACATCAACGTTTTTGGCTGCCAAAATCGCCCGTTGACTAAGCCATTCATGATTCAAATAATTATTCTGTATATCCGGGAAAATACTCTGAATCAATTCATTTTTATCCTGAACAACAGTGCAAAAATTGTCTGGTAGTTTAATGCATTGCGTATTTGGTTGCAGTTCTATTTTACCGTTCCCAATATCTAATAGTTGTTCGGAAAATAATTGTGCTGTTGGATCATTTTGCAATTGTACTCGCATATTTATGGTTAATCGAAGTGTTTCAACACTTCGCCATAAGAATGATTGTTTCAAACATGCATTAATCTCATCCGCGAAAGTAGAGTGAGGTATAACCGGTAAGGTCTGCCGGAAGTCACCAGACAAAAGTAAGATAGCACCACCGAAAAGTTTATTATTGCTGTTTAAATCTTGCATAGTTCTGTTTAGTGCTTCAAGTGAATATTTGTGTGCCATTGTGCACTCATCCCAAATTATTATAGAACTCTTCCGCAACACTGCAGCTATTCCACTATTCTTTTTGATGTTACACATTGCATCTGGTTTATTATGAACGTCCAATGGCAGCTTGAATGTTGAATGTGCTGTTCGCCCACCATCCAGTAAAGTAGCCGCAATGCCTGACGATGCTACAGCTAATGCGATTTTTTTGTTGCGACCGTATTTTGGCAAGAATCAACGATATTAAAAATGTCTTACCGGTTCCACCGGGTGCATCCAAGAAAAAAAAACCGCCTTGTTCAGCAGCAACAGCCAGCATAATCCGATCATAAATAATTTTTTGTTCTGCTGTCAGTAATGGTTCACTGTTCATGATAATTGTTGCTAAACTTCCATGGTCATATTGATTTTCTCGTTGTAAATCGGTATTGACTAAGTCGGTGGCTGGACGATTAGGTGATGGCATACCATAATGATTAAGTGGTAAATTTGAAATAAGAACACATAAATCCTCGATCAAGACTAATGCTTCATTGTACATCTCTGGTGTATAATCTCTAATTTGGCATTGATTTATGTGTCTAATTCGGTGCAAGATGTCTTCTGTCATACAATTTTTATATGTTTCCCACAAAGTTTTGCTTGCGAGGGATAACATGTCGTTAAAATAATTGCAAACAACTGACGAATGTTATTCGGTGTTGATGTCAACGCAGCATCGGCAAGCGTTAAGTCCCAATGATTATCGTCTTCTAGCAATTGCAGTTCACGACATGCATCCTGGTATGTAATGAATACTCGACCATTAAGTGTTCGTAAAAATTCAAAAGACGTTGGTCCGGGAACATTAGGGTGGTCCTTAAATTTTAAGTTCAAAAATGTTTTCATCTCACCCCCTAAAACAGTGTATATACATACAATAATTAACTACACGAAATATTGAATCAATCAAACAAAGTTAACCCGTGCCTATTTGAACTTAAAGTTTGAACTTTTACAATTTTTCAAAATTTTTCAAATTTTTGTACTTATATCATAAACCGTTGATCAAATTGAAATTTATTATAGATACTAAATTAATTAAAACTACATTTACGAAAATATTTGTTCTATATATTTTTTAATATCTTCAACTGTTGGTGAGATATATTAATGTTAGTGTTTAAAAATCGGTCTTTTCGATATTTTTCAATATTATAACGTAAATTATTACAATTTGTATTGTTTACTTATCGATAACTCCAAAAGTTATTTTTATAAATTAGAGTAATAACTGCAATGAATACCCATATAATTCACTGATATTATTTGTATCGGCTCCTTATCGTAATTCCGATAGTTCACGTAAATTAAACAGCCTAAATTCTCTAGTCTAGAGATTAGTTTAGGAACAGTCGTCAGACGTCACTCGTTTTTAATAGTGTTTGTATTCAATTGTTTTTCTCTGAAAATATTGTCGTGATTTTATAATATTATGTGTTCGAAAATAAGAAATAATGTTTATTTATTGGGTAATGAATGCAGTCAAATTACTGGTGGTAAATTGCCGTCCATTAAGCAGGCTTTATTAGTTTTTTTCTACAACTTACGAGTTGTTAAATTAAATATACGTGAAAGTGCTCGTCTTGCTGTACGTGAAATAGTAATATTTTGGGAAAAAGCAAGAATTCCTGTACAAGATATTCAGCATTGTATATCTAAGCTGGAAAAATTATATCATGAATGGAGAACAGTTCAAAAAAATTCTACAAAAAGAACCGAATGTCAAATTAAAAAAGAAGTCGTGTTCTCCTCAAAATCGGACGATTTATTTGACATTGCTCATGCGAACGCATTAAATATGTTAGGTAATAATTTTTACTATAACATTCATATTTTGTTTAAAAATGTTTAAAAAAACATTTCTTATTATAGGTATCCAGGAAGATCGAGATTTTTTACTTCTCCAAAGAGAAAAAGGCCGAAAAGGCTATATGATGGGCGTTGATACTAAATTGGTTAAAGCTGAAAAGCGAAAGGCTGATCGATTAAAATCATTAAATGAAGCATCTAAACGTTCAAAAATAGAAGCAGAAAAATTAGGTATAGTGCATAATGAATATTCGTAAAACACAATATACAAATAATATATTTATAATATAAATATATTCTTGTAAAACAAATTTTTAAAATAACTACATAATTTATATAATTTTTTTTTTTTGCAGATACCAAAATAGAACAGGTTTCATTTTCTTCTGAAGAAGAATACGAAGTTGACTATACTTCAGAATCTGATACTGAAATACCTTCCACAAGTACGAGGATCTCGGTTAAACGAGGTAAGATTGATTTTATTAATGATAGACTCGTCATGGTTTTGGATCGTTGCAAAGTTAGTGATCGTGATGCAGTTCACATTCTTATGGCAACTGCTGAAGCATTAGGACACGATACTTGTAATTTAATTATTAACCGAACATCTAAAGGCAACGTCGACTACAAACACGAAAAAATATTGCAGTTAAATTAAAAGAAGATTTCCAAACAAATTCTAAAGCCATTGTAGTTCATTGGGATGGTAAACTTTTGCCTACAAGTAAATTTATTCAACATGATCGACTTCCAGTTATAGTAACATTGCAAGACTCGGAACAATTAATCGGAGTTCCAAAATTAGACTCCGGTACTGGTCAAAATGTGGCAAATGCTGTGTACGAATTATTAAACAATTGGGACTTATCTAAACGCGTGAATGCACTGTGCTGTGACACTACGGCTTCTAATACAGGCAGAATAAATGGGGCTTGTATTATTTTGGAACAGTTACTAAATAAAAGCCTTCTTTATTTGCCATGTCGTCATCATATTTATGAACTTATACTACGATCAATATTTGAATTGAAGATGACCAGTTTTTCGGGTCCAGATATTACGCTGTTTAAACGATTCCAGCAAGCTTGGGAAAAACTAGACTCAAAAAAAATAACAATTGGTACCGCAAACAATGATATACAATTAAAAATTATGGACGTAAGTAACGATATAATAGAATTTTGTACGCAACAACTACAAAAAAATCATTACAGAGATGACTACAAAGAGTTAATAGAATTAATATTAATTTTTCTCGGAGGATGCCCATCTGATGAAATCACTATAAAAAAACCTGGTGCTATTCATCACGCTAGATGGATGGCAAAAGCGTTATATTCATTAAAAATATATTTATTTAGAGATCAGTTTAATTTAAATATAAAAGAGGAAATCGGGCTAAGGGACATATGTATATTTTTGATTCGTCTTTACGTGAAAGCGTGGTTTGGGGCTCCAAATGCTGCAACAGCACCATACCAAGATTTTAATTTTATTAAAGATGTATATAACTATTATGACTTCGATGTTTCAAAAACAATTCTAAAAAAATTCTGTGGACATTTATGGTATTTGTCTGATGAAGCAATAGGTTTTTCATTTTTTGATAAAAATGTATCTGCCGATTTAAAAAAAAAGATGGTTAAAGCTTTAACTTCAAACGATGGCTCAGATGAAATAGTAAAAAAAATATCAATTAAACCTCATGAAGTTTCATCTTTAGTTACAAAAGATTTTAGTCATTTTGTAACGAAAAATACAAAAATATTTTTTTGAACGTTTCGGTATTGACACACATTTTTTAAATGATGAACCAGATGAATGGATTAACAACACTGCGTATAATGATGGAGCAAATACTGTAGCCCATATTAATGTTGTTAATGATACGGCAGAAAGAGGAGTAAAGCTAATTGAAGAATATAACAGCATTTTAACTAAAGATGAAGAACAAAAACAGTACCTACTACAAATTGTAAAAAATTATAAAATTAAGTATCCTGACGGTAACAAATCGACACTACAATAATATTATGTTATTAAATATTATTAACTATTAAAAAAAAATTTTATCAGTTTAAGTTCATTATACAATTTTTATATACTCGTACAACATTTTATTTTAGATACAATATGTTAACATTTTTAGTTTTAAATATATTCATGGAAAAGTAAAAAAAACACAGTTTTTATACTAAGGGACAATATATTTCACCAACAATTGAAGATATTAAAAAAATTATAGAACAAATATTTTCGTAAATATAGTTTTAATTAATTTAGTATCTATAATAAATTTCAATTTGATTAACGGTTTATGATATAAGTACAAAAATTTGAAAAATTTTGAAAAATTGTAAAAGTTCAAACTTTAAGTTCAAATAGGCACGGGTTAACTTTGTTTGATTGATTCAATATTTCATGTAGTTATTTTTTTTATGTATGTACACTGTTTAAGGGGGTGAGATGAAAACATTTTTAATTTTTTTTTTTTTTCATCTATAGTGAAAGACCACCCTAGGGAACATTCACCAATAACAAACGTAAATAGAAGCACTCACGTTGCTTTGGATGTACCGTGTAAAGTCTCCCCAATGTCTTAGCTTTGAATATGCCTGTAATGGAAGGATGTGGTTTTCCTTGTTTCCGTGGCTCCCATTTTTTACTGGATTTGTTCCGTGTGAAATAACGTGGAACATCACCATACACCAATGTCTTCGCGAATTGGCCAAAAACATCAGGTTTTTGACTCAATGTAAAAAATTCAGTTAAAGTCGTTTTCGGAGCTTCGAACGCTCTTTGGAGAGCATTTCTTCAGTGAAGTATACCCGTTGACCGTTTTCAAGATGTATTGCCAGATGTTGGACAGCAGGATCTCTTTCGTGGATGGGAAAGCTGAGAATATGCCAAATAGCTTCATTGCTGCTAATGTATCTGCCCATTTGGTATCGTGCTATTTCGTCATTATTATTTATGTTTTGTACTTCAAATATGGCCAAATCACTGCCTTTGTT